AGGGACCTCTCCCTGCCTCTGGTCTTCAGACCCTGTTTTGAATACTCTTACTCAGGTGCTTCTGGGCAGATCACATGCTCGAACCCAGCTCCCCACCCCCCGCCCCCTCCCTCTGTGAACCAGGAAGGTCGGACTGACCTTGACTTTCTGTTGGTGGTGGTAAATCTGCCAGGAGATGTGAACATGCATAGCACACCACTTCCCTGGTTTCTGGAACAAGAAAGAGCAAAGTGATCAGAAGGAGACATTTCAGGGAAACCACCTGCAAATCCCCCGAGCTCTCAGCAGATTCTGGCTGCAGAGACTTTTTCATGAAACAAGAGAGCTTTGTGCCTCCAAGAGCCTCCCGTCAGCAACCCTGCCAGGCCCAACCATCAGGGAGCCATAATCGCTCTCCCCCTAATCCTGGGGCCCAGACATCGGCCACCACTCAGGAAGCCATACTTGACAAGGACCCCCGGTTACCAAGGACAAGATGGGAAAAGCCTGAATCCCACTTTATGCCTCTTCTTTCTTTTCTGGTGCCAGCTGGCAGACCTGGTGAAATAGGAAGTCCTACTTAACAAATGTGGCTATGCTATAATGCAAATCAGCTGTTCACAAGGGCTAGGAAGTGGGCTGTCCCTCAGCCTAGGAAGTGGGCTGTCCCTCAGGGAGCGTCGAAATCAAATCAAAACAAGAAAGGGCACAGGACCTGTCATAACCTCCCCATGGCTGTTGCTTCTTTAACCCCCAAAGCGGGGCAATGGAATCCATCCCACTTCTGTTGAAGTCCAGTGACCCCATATGCTTCATTAAGAGCTGACCACTCATTCATGCTGGGACACTGTTCATGTCTAAGAGAAGGGGAGGGGAGGGGAGGGGAAGGCATTCCTTCCTCCCTACTCTCCAGGCTTTTGTCAATACCAAGTCCCTCCTCCACCCCTGGAGGAGTGCAGATCAATTTGCATCTCCCAAATCATTCTTTGGTTTCTGAGCAGTGGGGTGACGGCAAGTGCCTCTCTTCTGCCACTCAGGGCAGGGACCACCTCTTTCTGCCTCCTGCCAAGCAATCTCCTCTTAAGCCTAGAGTGCATGCACGGTAACTACTGGACAAAAGAAAAGAACTCCATTCTGCACTGGCAAAGGACAGAAGTTTCAGGTTTCTGTAATAGGGAGCTATTCTTGAAATACAGACTCAGGACTTTTCTCCTGTCATGGACTGACAGGTTGTTTGGCATCACAAGTACCACACTGCCTCACCTAAGTGAGGACACAGACCTCCTGTTCCCTTTGGAGAAGGTGGATTATCTGAGAGTATGCACCAGAAATGGGTGGGGACCACAGGAAGTCTACTGCCCATTATCTACCACTCAGACAGGCATGGGGAACTTGGCATTCACAGAGGGGCCATCTGCTGGCCAGGCACCAGACCTCAGGCCATTCTGCTTTAAACAAGATGTTAACAACCAATGCTCACAGTATCCTTTCCTACACCACAGAAACAGGTCAAGTGGCTACGAAAGTCAATAGCACCTCGTGCTGAACCAGGGAGCCACAGCAGAGCACACCCATCCCAGGTAAGTATGCGTTTCCTGAAAGACACTGACTGCAGCCTGTCGCTCAAGTCTTCCTCCCTGAAATCCAATCAGACTTTCTACCAGACCTGCTCACACTGGAATCGGACTCAGCTCTACCAGTTATATAAATAAGAAGCCCGTGGCATGGCTTCCTCCACTGCCCGAAGCAAAACAACTCGGTCACTTGCATCACACAGGAGCTGAAAACCCAACCACCGTGCCACAGCCTGCTGAGTAGGCTGGCTACAGACTTGTGTTTCCGACCCACAGGGAGTCAAACAGAGGTTGCAAAACA